AATTTTTTCAAATATTTAGCTACATGCATACTCCTTTTCAAATAAATTCTGAATATGATTTGCGTTTTCATTATAACTCCAATTTTATTTATCCCATTGAATTTTATGAAATTTTAATTGATCGATGTATTTACACAGTCCAGTGGGTCTAGACAAAGTGCAAATTATAATCGCAAACCAGTCGAAAAGTGGTCGAAAAGCCCCTTTTTTGTATGGAGTTTTGACGGATTCGATTTTCGATTCGATCAAAAAATGTGTTTTGTCTAGGGGGGCAGGCCAGTCGTTGTCATTGAACCACAGAAAAGGTACATAAGTTGAAGTCACAAGCTGATAGTTGAATGACTCATGGGCGAGTGCGGGTCGCGGGGCGTGGGGCACAGCGTTTGCCCGTGTGTGCGCTGCGCCAAGGGTTGCCACATGTTTGGCTTTTTATGGTCTTGTCCGTCCTGTCCGGCTTTTGTTAGGCTCTTTATGTGGCTGCCGCGCAAGGCGAAAGTCGAGTCACAGAATAAATCAAGCACACGCATCGGGATTGTCGGGCAACCGATGATGATAGTAGATATGATAGTTATGTTTTTGGACCTGGCAGCCCTAGCTGCGCCGTTCTATCAGGCCTCCGTTACTCGCCTATGAAGGCCGAGATAATTACCTACTGGCGGATCAAGTAACTCAGTAGCGCGGAGTTCGCCGTAATAGTCGCATCATTTATGTATTCTCCAGTATTCTCTGTCTACGGGCAATATGGACGTCGAAATGACAGCTGCCGTTGAAATGTGATGTGCGCTCAGTGCCCCGATTGCGTTAATTTTTAACGTCTCCAATACATTGGCGCTTCTTCACCAGTTGCGCTCCGTTTTTCATTCCAGCTGAGGTGCAAATTCGGTATTTTATTCCGCTAATAAATAAATGCAAGATAATAAATAAAGTAATAAATAAACATTTGAGATATCAAGTACCACAACTAGAAACTGCAAATAATAAAACAACGTGAGCTACTTTCAACTTTTGAAGATATTGGCGAAGATTTCAATAACACGGATGAAGAAGCTTCCTATGTTGATAAAGACTGTCCTATTGCTTCCACAAGTTTTGAAACTGGTGATCTTTCTGCAAAACAAGCACACCGACCATGTACGCTCATGGTGCTATCCAGCATTAGTCACAATGCATGCAAATTCATGAACATATCTCAGTTTTCTGGATGAAAATCCAAACACAATTCATGAGGAAAAATTCCGAAAACCTTAAATTTTACATGTTCATTCCTCTCATGCAACATGATTTGTTGAAACCTGGGGATGTCGTATGTCGTAGAGACACTTTTGAACTTGATGGTTTTTATGAAGTTAGCAGAGTAGATGGTCCAGCTACATCTAATACAAATCCAGGTTGGGACCTATCGCGTATGATGCCGTGACAGATGGATCATGTAAAAGATATTATCTTAATAACCTAGGCGCTGCAAACGGTCATTGAGAATGCTTGCATTTTGAAAGACGCATCTGCTAACGACTTGTCGTGCAGGGGAGGATTGACGGCACACGAGCGCGCGGCAGGTCGCCTATGCGCTGGACTGATCAGGTCAAACCCACACTAAATGGTCCACTCCACGAGTGTACAAGAAAGGCTGCAATGACATCGATGTTTGGAAAAAAGTGGCTGTGACATACGGACAGACAGACAGACATGACGAATCTATAAGGGTTCCGTTTTTGTTATTTCGCTACGGAACCCTAAAAACCACTTTTAAACACAACAAGACACGATGTGATACTATTATTAGACGCTTCTTACATGCTTAAATTAGTGAGAAACAGTTTTGCATCAAAGAAAACGTTTTTTAACAAAAATAACGACAAGATAGAATGAAAGTATGTAGGTAAACCGTTTACAAGAAATTCAGGAAATTGAAGGGCTTATAACATGAAACTAATTAACTAACCGCCATATTAATTTCCGCAGCCAGATCATGAAAGTCAAGTTGGCATCACAGCTAATGAGTAAAGCCTTGATCACACGTACCGAGTAATCGGGCGAGACAGTGCTCTCGGCCGAGTACTCGTTGCGTATGAACATAGCGCCGAGTGATCGACCGAGTGCTCGGCCGAGCAAAGTGACGAGACAGTAGCTCGACTCCCGTTCAACTTACCAGGCCGAGTATCCACGCAGTCCACTCTCCCGCTGCCACGCACTGTCTCGCTCGCTCGCTCGGCAGGTCTGAACGTGCACTGTCTCGCCACTCGCCACTCGGCCAAATGATTGACGTCACGTCCACAGATTAGAGAAAAAGAAAAGTCTCAATAGAACTGAACTGACTGTGCTAATTTCAAAACACGTGTGAACAGCTACTCGCTTACATCACTGTCTCGACCGAGTATTTACTGTCTCGCCCGTTTGCTCGGTACGTGTGATCAAGGCTTAATAGTGTTGCTCAGTCACTCCATTTGGCTTGTCTTCAGAATTTTCAGAGAGTGAACCCACTGCGGTATTTGCTGCCTTAAAGTATTGTTGTAAAGTCTAATTGAGACTAGGGATGAAACACATCGCAACATATAGACTCACAAGACCACCTGGAATGGTTCTTTGGATGCATCTGGCAAAAAGGTGGTTACAATAATAATCCCAATTCAGTACAGTTCAGATCTGCCTACAAAAGAATATTGAAGAGCCTTGAATTAAAGAAGAATTTTAAAGGCAACTGCGTGCCCCTTGAAAAAATTAATATACCTATTCACGACTAAAACTAACGACCATTTCCAAGAAATTAATAATTCATGCTTTGACTGTGATAATAGTAACTCGGAAAAGTCACAAACCATCATGCAGAATCAAAAAGATTTAGAAAAAGAATGGATCGTGCTGCAGACGAACAATAACATTTTTACGAATAATAATATGACAAAGCAAGTTGTTGGATATATTTCCGGCTATTTAACTGACAGAGTAGGGCAAGAAATTATGTGTCACAGTCTTTTTGACACTTGTAAAAAAATGAGAAATCCATCAATCACAAATCACTTTAAAATACAAAAATGATTGAAGCGTGCTCAAACAACGAATTAGTGGAAATGGTGCACTTGTACGCAATAAGTGATAACAGTTTACGACAAGCCGTAGAAATGTATGTGGAAATCCCGTCAGGTGATGCTTAGTGCTACGCAGATCCCCAGTTTGACGTCTTATTAATTTGCTTTATACTTTATTAATTATTATTAGGTATTTTTGACGGTCCTGAGCCCGTAAAGTAGAAAGGAAAATCTGAAATCAACTGAAGAGTAAAATAATTAAGACTGACTTAAAGGGCTTGTACCCAGAGCTATAAAAAATCAGATTAAAAAACAAATAGGCCACGCCCACTACCACTTTTCTTGCGCCAAAACCAAAACACTCACGAGCTGAACTTCAAATTATTGTAAAGTTTTTTCAGACTTGACATTTTACTGCGTTTCTTCACGTGTATTAGATTATGTATTTGACAAGTACAATTTCATTATAATAATAAAGCAAACTGCAGTTAATGAGAAATTTAGAAGTATTCAAGTAGGTATCTTCTTGAAGAAAAAAATTACAGAAATGTTAGATGAAATGGTAAAAAATCTTTCGATTCAAAAAGATCAAAAACAAGTGTAAAGGAGAAAGAAGCCCTACCATTCCATACTCTCCTGTACTGAGATGTTTTTGCCTTAACTTTACATTTTTATTCCCGCAAAGCGTAAAGATATACGCGTAAAACGTTTTTATACTTCATTCAGTTTCAGATTTCAGAGTAATAATAATAATACTGTCGTTTATTTCAACACACGTGACTATTCCCACCTCTCGATCCCACCGCCGCAACTGCTGTGTAGCCAGGATCTGCAGCTTGACCGCCAATAAAAACACAACCAATGAAGTTCAAGTTTGTCCCGGGGGAAAGTTAAACTGTCATAAAAGAAAATACGAAAAGAAAGACAGGCGTCGACTGTATTTTCTTCCCCAAAGATAAATCAACTTAAGTCGAAAAAAAATTAACCTGGTCAATTTTCATATTTGTGCTATAGCTATAGGCATAAAATACCCGAATTTTATGCAGTTCGAAAGGAAGTGCCGAGTTTGAAGCGGCTACTAGCAGCTCTCAAAGAAGACATACATTTTATTGGTGGCAAAGAGTTGATTACTCATGCACAAAATGGGCTATAAATTGTAGGAATCAAAGAACAATTCTTATGGAGCGATAAGATATAGCCGCATGGAGGGATAAATACCTCCATAAAAGTAGTGTAAAGGAGAGTGGTGTGACTTGGCATATCTTGAACTTGATGAAAGATTTATTCACACTTCTTTAAATCATTTAAAATGTTGGTAAAATGAAGACGAGCATGGCTACAGGCACTAGATAAATAAATTGTTAATTGTGGTGGCAAGACCGGATTTGTTCCAAATATCCAAATGCAAAATGAATGTAATAATTATTATTGACGGGATTGCTACCATTATGTTAGTAACCATAAAAGCTGAAAACAATAAAATGAATGTACCTAGCAGTGGACGTCATTTGGCTGAAACGAACGAACGAACGAACCTAGTTTGGAAAAATATTATCAAAAAATTCAAACAGACCATTCTCACCAGTATGACTATATTCAGTGTTGCACTATGAAATGCAATTGGCGCGCCTCTACGCCAGGGTTTTTATGTTCCTGGTCAGGCTATAATGAAAGGGTCCATTAAAGGGTCCTTATCATCTATTAAATATTTATTATTTTATTTATTTGGGGAAGCTCGGCGAAATAAAGGTTGGGAAGTCTTGGGTAAGAATCCCTGTTGTCCACCTAATTGGTCAATTCAATGGTAAACGCTCAATAAACATCCCTTTAGTTCTGAATCAACAAAACAAAAAAAGCACACCAAACGACAAAAATCCCTAACATTGAGAAATAACCAAACAGCAAAACAAAGTCGGTTCCAGTAATAATTTGTTTATAAATTCAATCGATAAATTGTTTTCGTTCATAAATTCCATGACTTACAATCTGATCACAATCAACAGCAAAGCGTGGCGCAAGATGCCAGTCTACAGGCGATCCACTAGAATATTTATTAAATACACGTGTATTTTTTTGTTTACTGTAATATTCGCAACTATACATTTTGGGAATAGAAGAAACGAGGTAAAGATCAACAGGACACCCCCACGGAATCAGACAAAATCAGTGGCACTGTCTTCGAATAAGAAATACATACTTCTGTGGACTAGTGCGCACACGTCACCGTTTCAATATTTACGCATGGGCAACATAGTGTTCGTAGAAAAAAAATGTAAATGGACTAATTGTTACGTCACGAATAACAGGAATTTCTTAGGAGATTACAGTGAATTTGAAGTGATCGCTTTTCATGGCCCCGAGCTCTTGGAATATTTAACATACGGTGATCTACCAAACAAAAGATCTGCAAATCAGAAATACGTGTTTGCAAACATTGAGGCAGCCGCGCTGTATCCATTATGCACAAATGTATGGAACAATTATTTCAATTGGACTTGGACATACAAATTGAATTCGGACGCATTATGGGGTTACTTCGTTATAAGAAATGCAAGTAAGCACGTGATTGGGCCTAATCAAAATATGCATTGGTTATCTGTGGATAAGATGGATGACATAGACGACGAATTGAAAGCTAAACTTAAAAATAAGAGCAAAACGGTTGCATGGTTCGTTTCAAATTGTATATCACAAAGCTCACGGGAACATTATGTGCTAGAGCTACGCAAAGAACTAAGAAAGTTTAAAATGGAAGTCACGATTTATGGAAAATGTGGGGAGTTCAGCTGCCCAAAAGAAGATATGCCACGATGTTTGAAAATATTAGAAGACAACTATTACTTTTATTTGGCATTTGAAAACTCTTTGAGTGAAGACTACGTTACCGAAAAGATATTGTATGCTTTAAATCACAACACAGTACCAATTGTTTTAGGAGGAGCCAACTATACCAGGTGACGAGAATTTATTCATATTAATTATGCTTATTATTATTTACTGGGTAATTTATTTTAGGTAATCCTTATTTGGATCTCTATGAATGAACTACTTACTTGAAATTTTTAACTTGATACACATTTGAATGTTGATTTGAAACGGTAGTGCAAATGACCCCGAGACAGTAATCGAAGTCGATTAACAAATTGTTTATTACAGATTCATGCCCAATGGAATTTATTTGAATGCCAACAAAATGGATCCAAGGAAATTGGCAAATAAAATTTACCAAATAATAAAGAAACCGCTATTGTATTATAAATTCTTTCGCTGGAAGAAATATTATTCGTACCATTTAAGACATGAAAGTCCATATACGGACGATTATTGTAATTTCTGCGCTATGCTCAACGACAAACAATTGATGAAAAAAACAACCATATATGAAAACCTGAACAAATGGTGGACAGGCGACGAAATGGACCGAATTTGTCATCTATCATCGCAAGTTCTTTCCGATACCATAGTTGATATGGCTAGTACACGGACTAGTAACATTTTATTTAGAACCTGAACCGTCTTGCGACTTAAAAATATCTCCTTAGGATAGGAATACAGACTCCATAGAAAATAGGATGTTGGTATTTTCCTGAAATTGAAAAAACCTTCCTCAAATATTCCGCAAATATATTCTATATCAACAGAATTGGTTCGGAGCTGACTTTAATGTTATTTTAAGCAGTGGCGGCGTAGCATGGGTTGGCACCCGGGGCGATCACCCCCCCCCCCCCGTCATAACTCCTAAGGCACCCCCTGGTACCCCCCATGAAAGACAATCCTCCCCCCGTATCATGACATAGTCCAGATTTGCCATGCAGATGTGCCAGTGAGTACTAATCTGCGCGACTTGTGTCACCCCNCAGATTTGCCATGCAGATGTGCCAGTGAGTACTAATCTGCGCGACTTGTGTCACCCCCTGATGCTTGGCACCCGGGGCGGACCGCCCCCACCGCCCCCCCCTTACGCCGCTACTGATTTTAAGATTGTATGATTTCAAATGGATAAACTTCCAATATTATTCACAGCTCGGCGTTAATTATTTTGTGTTGTGTGTTTGTTATTAAGTTTGTATTTTTTTTATGTAAGTTTAGAACATCTATAGATGTAACGAAAGAGTAGATTCCTCAGTTCCTCTCAATACAGGTTACTTAGACTTAGAAGAGAGGAATTCCCCAACAACTTTTAACAATCGTACTAAGTGTCAATAAAATATTTTTATATTTTCTAATTATGTAACGTTAGTTATGTTATCACGATAAATTGTTATTTGCAACACTCACAGTATCAGGAGTCTTGTAGGAAAAATTCGCGGTTTACATTAATTTGTTAATCACCGGATTTCACTGGTGACAATTTCAACTGATCTATAAACCCGTCCTTACGATTCCGATCCCACGCCGGTAATTGCAAACATCTGGATGGAACATTTTGAAAGCGTAGTATTAGCTACAGGAACATGAACTATGAAACTGGAAGACGTACGTGGATGATATTTTTGTATTGTCCACAGAGGTCAACAAGAAGTCGAACATTACGTAAGACGCTTAAATTCAATTCACCCAAAAGACACACTTAAATTCGATTCACCCAAAAGCAAAATTAATCTATGAAATGAAAAAGAATAGATCCTTGGCTTTCCTTGACGTGCAGATAGCGGTGAAAGCAGACGGTACATGATCTCACTCCATTTACCGAAAACCGATACATACAGATAGGTCTTACAAGCCTTATCTCATCATTTAGCCAGCATTAATCCGTTATGACGTTATTGACTAACAGAGTTCATAACTTGTGACCCTGAATATCTACAGTCCGAGCTTACATTGTGTCGCAGAGGTGGAAAAGACAAAAGGATACGAGCGAATGGTCAGAAGCGAGCAAGCAGAATTTTTACCTTACAAAGGTGTAACAGATAAAATTGTAACAGTACTAAGAAATTTCTCCATCAAGACTGTATATACTCCGTTATGCCAAATATCAAAACAACTACGACTGCCAAAGGATGTTATATCTTCCCAGACATTGGGAGCATATAAAATCGATTGTTGTTGCGATTTTATTTATTGGACAGACAAAACCCACTATCGCAAAACATGCCAAAGAAACGAAACGAGCAAATTCGCCGAACTAGAAAGAGGAATTATTCACTGGAAGAAGTTACACAATCCAAAAATCATCTCCACTGAAGGATATTATCGTACGAGTATAGTACGAGAAACGATTGAATCAAAAAATATAAAATTTTGGGGTGACGGGTTTAAAATGTCACCAGGAATCCGGTGATTAACAAAATGTAAACCGCGGGCATTGCCGTCAAGTACAAATACCGATACTGTGGGTGTTGTGTCGTGGTAACATCGCTAACAGAGTAGGTACCTAAAAAAATCTAATGGCGGATTTACACTATGCGGAAATTAGCCGAGTCAAGTCAAAAAAACAGAGGAGTGGGGATGTAATTCATTCATTTTTCACCCCCACCCCACTGTTTTTTGACTTGACTTGGCTAATTTCCGCGCAGTGTAAAAGCAGCATAAAAGGACTTGAACATTTTCCACTACCCTCTAATAGTCACTCCATTTAGGGTAGTCGAAAATTTTCAAGCCCACCCGAACGTACGACGCCGCGAGCCGCCAGCCTGCTTGTGACCACGGCTGTAGCAGCAACACAGCCGAAATGTCAAGCTCAAGTATCCCAACTAATATTATAAATGCGAAAGTAACTCTGTCTGTCTGTCTGTTACGCTTTCCCGCTTAAACCTCGCAACCGATTTTGATGAAATTTGGCATAGAGATAGTTTGAGTCCCGGGAAAGAACATAGGATAGTTTTTATCCCGGTTTTTGAAACAGGGACGCGCGCGATAAAGTTTTTCTGTGACAGACAAAATTCCACGCGGGCGAAGCCGCGGGCGGAAAGCTAGTCCCATATAAAAATGTCGCGTTGATACTTGTGTTTGAATGAAACGCGAGTTTATAATTTTACATTGTATGCAGTGTTTTTATACTTATTACGTTATCCTATGTGGGATAATATTTATTTATGCATTTAAATAAAATACTAGATAGTTGAAATATATTGTTCACAATAATATTTACATATATAAATCATGTTATTTAATAACTATAATTAAAAATAAATGAATAATGCATTTGGGTGGTTTTAGTAGACCTACTAGCACGAATATTAAAATATTTAAAATATGTACTTAATAAGTTGCTCAATCATAAGCTATTAAATTCTACATATTACTTACCACTTCTACATAAACTTAAGTATTTACAGATTACATTATACTAATATGGAGGTTCCTTCACTTGTCAACGTGAATTAAATTCTAATAGAATATTAATGAAAATCATAGCTCGTCTATGAATTTGCGGCTACGTAGATTATGCCATAGTGGCAGGTTGTCCCAGAACTTTGAGCGCGACGCTAGGTTAAGTCTCATGGTCTGCTCGCTTCCAATCTCCAAGTACTCCATCTTGCTTCCACTTGTAGCTGGTTCCCATTTGGCGGGAATACTCACCGGCTTGTTTGGATTTCTGTAAATAACACGCAAGCATTATTCTTGAGCTTACGCGTAGGTTTGGATATGTGGATAGTTGAGCCATCGCAGTGACAGTAAATATCTAAGGCGGGTTGCACCATCTTACTTTAACTTTATCAAACGTCATAAACCTGTTAAACTCTATACAAAAACCACCGGTTACCGTTAGATTTACGGTCAAAGTTAGGTTGTGCAACTCGTCCTAAGTATGATAGTTAACATTGAGACTCACCCACTAGTAGCAAAGTTGGTGAACATATTCCTAATTAGTTTACCCATTTCAATGTCATTAGGCGACATTTGTTTAGACAAGAAATGTATAGGGAAAAGGTGCATCAAATCGTCTGCATGACAAACACCTGTAACAAAGCGATATAAATACATAATTAGTAACTAATTTTATTAAGGGGTCNGGGGGTCGACAAAGTGTGACATGGTGTGACAAGGGGTGGGAGGGGTCCAAAGTTTCGTGACGTCACATTTCAAAATCTAATATATCTAGAGGTAGTAATCGCGTAATTTGAAATATAAATTAAACTAAAAAATACCCCCACCACTTAAGCACAACTCCGTCGAAGTCGAAAACCTAAGAGAGGCTATGTGCAACCAATGAAGCCATTAAATCAATAAAATCTTATGTAGGTATTATTTCAGATTTAAAATCTAATTCTACTGGCCTATAATGCCGCCAAACGCACCGTACCTCGCGCGTGATTTTATTGTTTCTATTTGTAGCTATTTCGATGTGAAATTGCAAAACATGTGACGTCACACTATGGGTTTCAGAAATGTGACCACCTGTGACAAGGACGGGAGAGGGGTCAAAAAATCATAAAATTCGTGTGACGTACTTTATGGATGGCCCCTAATTGGTTCAGGCGCAAAAAGCAGGAAGAAACTATACATAGAAAAAAATAAATTGTAAACAAATACTTTCGTATTAATTGTAAATTGTACAATTTAGTTAGAATAAACTTTATCATTATAGGGAAATTTTGCGCTACATCCCGTATTTAATACATACCATAATCTCCTTCGAGATCTCCAAATATTTCGGAGAAGCTGTTGGTGGCCCTGTAAGCTAGTTCATAAAGATATATCGGTGATTTGCTGTAACTAAGAGTTTGCTCCACCGCTTCCAAAGCCGGGTACGCAAAATAGGAATCCGTGTACATCTGCAAACAAGATTTTTAAAAGACTTGAAATATTCGAAAAAAATAAGTATATTGTACCAATATTCGTGTCCGTTGGAGTTGGAGAATATGATGAAAATTTGATATAAATGAGAACACACTAAATGTTAAAAAAAACTCAAACTCAACTCATATCGCAATTTTGAATACCACCCATTTAATACACACAGAAATACATGAAAAGCATTTAATACCTGCAGAATTCCCCATTTCAAAGTTTCAAAGCTATCATCTTTCAGATATTTTTCCTTTATTTTCTTGGTGATTTCGTCAGCGTATGGAGAGTTGTCATAGTAATATGTGACGGGGGCAATTATGTCAAAGCCAGACATAAATTCCTTGAGCCTGGTTTCATTATTGGTTATCCCTGTAACAAATTATTATGTCATCAGACTCCTTACTATCAAATTACTTGCTCAAAACATACTAATAATTTCCGCGGAGGGCTCTATCATAAAGTGTTTATACTCGGAGTTACAAAAATTATATAGCAATTTTATTATTATAAATTCAAATTCAAATTCAAATTCAAATTCTTTATTTGCTTATAAATAGGGTAAATACATATAAGTGGTGGATGGTATTTTATAAAAGTGCAGTCCTATTTAGCCAATGTCAGTTAGCATGCAAATTATAGATTAGGTAAATGTAGATTGGTATTACATGTATATTATTATTATTAAATGTCGATTGATGTTACATACTATTAAATGTCGATTGGTATTACATAATCATGAAATGTGGATTAACATTAAATATCTTATTAATATTGATTTTCAGTAGTAAGTATCCACATTTATAGTAGAATACAATATTAGTCAGTATTACATTAAGTCATGACGTCACAAACACAAACAATCAAATACAAGCAAATTAAACCCTGCATCGACCAATGATTATAAATTATTATTCCTTATATGTA